GTTTCCAAAAGAGAAAGAAAGAAAAGAAGAGGAAGAAACCAGGATCACAATGGAAGTACAAAGGAGGGGCCTACAAAAGAAAAAGGCCTATACAGCTGAGCAAAGAAAATAAAGAAAAAGCCAACTACGAGAAATTTCTTCAAGATAATTTCAAAACTTAAGATGAAAAAGCCTAATAATTAAGAAGCATAGAAATGAATACTAAAGATTAAAAAAATTCTCAACTCTGACACAAGGTTCTTATTAGATCTAATGAAATTATTTTAAAATGCACTGTATTCCAAGAATCATACTTTTCTCCGGATTGCTCTTGGTGGCCATTGTTATGTTTTGACTGGTAGAAGAGAGAAATGAAGAAAGGGAGAGAAGAGAGTTCTCTCTCTTTTCTAAACACAGCTGTCAAATTTTTTTGGGCTTTCCGATGACTGACTGGTCATGAGGTAAGTATTACTCACATTCCAAACTTCCTCAAGACTTGTCGATATCTCTAAATACTTTCTATTCTCCCATGTCGATATCTCTAAATATTCCATAGGATATCAAACAATGTTGCTCGAAACATAAGCACCTTCTTCAACATATCCTAACAACCTCTAGAGTAGTGTAGCCAAACGTGGTATTTTGCAACATTTTTTCATAGCTTCTAATTTCTTTCTATCTTGAGATCACATGTTGTTTAGTACTTCAGGCCTATAGGAGCTGTAATATACATGCAACGAAACAATCTTAAAATGTGCTTGAGGACTACGGACGGTGCTACCGACACATCTGAGGTCTCCAAAGTGAGCATTTCTTGAACTCTTATTTCTTGGCATTGAAGTTATTGAGGTGCAGTTACTGAGTTTTTCTTTGCATTCTAAAACCTGAAGGCCTATGGTGGTGGGGGTTCGCCAAGGTCGAGTTCTTTTACGATCAGGATGGACGAGTACAATAGGTGGCGATCGTTTTGAGGTTTGTGATTCTACACCTCAAGTTTCCTCAAAATGGTGCAAATACTAGAAAAGAGCTCCGTTGGATAACAATTTTGTTTTGTTTTTTTGCTTATTTATCTACAACCTATGTTTTGTTACCTTTTTCTTAACCACAACATAAATTTTTCCCCTCTAAAGAAAACTACTTATTCTTGACTAGGATTTCAAAAGTGTTTTTAAGTTTAAATTACAAAAAAAAAAAAAAGATCTTTTATAAAGCAACATCGTTTTTCAGAGTAGAAAACTTAGACTAAAACTTGTATTTGATGAACTAACTCTAAATTAAGATAATTCAATCACTTTTTATAGTGTAAGGATTAGTGAACTAGTTATTCTTCTTCCTACTCATAGCATTGGAATAATGAAAGAAAAACAAAGGCTACACAAAAACAAATAACATCCATAATTTATTACATTCTCATTGAGTCTGCACATTCCTATTTGTGCCAATCTTCTCTATTTTCCTAATTCTCTTCATTAGTGATGTTCTTGAAATTATTGATAACACCATCCTTTTAAATGTTAAATCATCAATTTTTTTTTACTCAATGTGACATTTAGTAGAGATTTGATTGAAAAGTTTTTGATACTTCAAATGTGAAATTAAGATTTTAAAATAAATGAGATGGAAATAAAAAGTTTGGCATATACTTGAAGACTAAATCATATAGGGTACGTTTTGGTATCTTATCCAAATTCAATATTTTTCAGGTTCACCGAATCAAATGAGTTTGGTAAGTTTTTTNTGTATTTGGATAGTGTTTGGATTTTATGACTTAAAAAGAGAATTTTGAATATCATTTATATGTTTTCATATTCTGAATTTGTTATTGAATATAAGTGTTGTAATTTTTACCTTCTATTTAACTTTCACTAATTTACTACTTAATTAAGTAAAAAATAATGTAAAAAATAAAAAGAAAAACCATACTAATTTAATGAAAATCAAGCTTAATAAATGCACTAAATGGACAATTAAATAACTCTATTAAACTTACCAATTTTAACAAAAATACCGACTCTAATGCCTTTTTTACCTAAATTATATTAATTTCTTATATTATATATGTTTTGTAATTTATTTAACACATACGAAAATACGTTTTAGAACAAATTTTCAAAGAAAATCTACTATAGTGTAAATATTGAAACAAAATTTCAAAAAAAAAAAAAATATATATATATATATATATATATATTGAAACACTCCTTATAGTTTAAAATGAAGATCGAACAATGTATTCAGGTTCAAAGTGCAATTTGATGAAATTAAAAGCTACATTCAGGGTTAAATTTGATTTATCTCACTTGATATTTATACGTGGTTGTGTCATTGACATTAAATTCTGGATCCACCACTATGTACACAATATTAGTATTTAATAAGTTTAAATTTTTAGACATATCCATCGACATCAACATTTCTATGAGAAATTAAGACTTGATTATTTTATTGACATCAATATTTAACACTTTAAAACTTTATGAGTCACACAAGTCCTGGATTTGTTTTCCTTAATAATGTTAAAGAAATTTTCAAAAATATAGTCTTCACCAAACTATTTTCCAAAAATACTGTTTGAAAATAGTTGGTCGTCTTTTGATAGGGTTAGGTGGTAGTGCAGATCGTAGACACGTATAGCAAGCTTCTTTTGACTTTTTTTTTTTTCTCTCTCCCTCTAAATCTCCCAACCCATATGGCACTCCCAAGATTTTATTATTTTTTCAAAAAACGAACTTTAAATTCAATTTAACTAACAAAATCTTAAAACAATCCAATTATAAAGAAATATGAGATTTAACTAAAAAATCTAGAAACAAACTAATTAAAAAATCCATATTATTATTAAACATTTAAATTTTAAATCTAATTTTAAAAAAAATAGATAATATTGTACCTTCACTATTTGCTTACCCTTTGCCGCACGAACAACTTCGGTAAAAATTCAATTAGACTTGAATTCTAAGCTTCCACATAATATTTATTCAATATCTGTGATTAGTATTTACGGGAAGATATCATTTGACTTAATTTTTTTCAATGATAGATTTAATTTAAATTTAAGTTAAATTGATTTTTAAAATTGATTTATTTTAAGATTATGATTATGATTTTGGTTTGATTTTTTTTAAAAGAAAACATGGGAAGAAGGTGAGACATGGAAGATATTAAAAAGTAAAAATAAAAAAAATCTAGAGATGACCAACATTGCTTCGCCACCTAGCATGTGGTCCTTTGGAGAGACAACCTACTAGAATTAAAACAAAAATTTTAGTGTGGCATCAAACAAAGTACCACATTTGATGACTATTTATGGATCATTTCGACCAACTATTTTCGAATATTATTCTTAAAAAAAAGGTATATTTTTAGAATTAATTTGTAAAAAACATACTTGGAGAAAAAGTCAAAGAAGTCCATGGTTTTATGCTTATTATTCTCGAACAATATTTTTAGTAAAGCAAAAAAGAGGGAAATTTTAGAAAACTTTTTACAGATGATGGGATGGCTACAAGACACAAAGTCAAGTCATACTAAGCACCGGCAAACTCCACAAAAAGTCTACGTTCAGCCATTTTATTCCACGTTCTGGTCCAATTTTTGTCATTTTTAATATCATTTTTTCAGAAAATAATATTAATAAAAAAGAATATTTAGATTCAACCCAAAATATTTTGATTCTTAATACTTATTAACGTTGGCTTGGCGAGCGAGAGCCTGCAAAAATCCAATCATGAGATTGACAAGTTGTACGTGGGTGTGCTAAGGACTAAGGAGTAACTCTACCAGCTTTAAACTTTTAATTTTTTTATTTTTTTAAATAAAATTACGCTTAGACTTTTAATTACGTGTCTAATTAAATATAAGTCATATTTAATATCTTTTATAAAATTTATGTACCTATTAGGACAAAATCGACTTATGTGTTTTGACCATGACTTTTAATCTTATTTTTAATAGGTCTGTGATTTTTTTTAATATGATAATGATTGGTTAAAACATAAAATTAAAAGTTTAAATATCTATTGGAAATTTTTTAAACTTTATGGACGTATTAGATACAATTTAAAGTTCAGGAATTGATTACACACAATCCTAAAGGCTTCGAGACTAAATTTCAAAATTGAACGTAGACTTAAATGATAAAATTATTTGGAATGCGACAAAAAATAAATAGTAAGTTCTTTTTTTGGTTCAACAATATGTAGGGGTTACAACGAAACCACACGAGAAAATAATAGAGATTAGCAAGGGTGGGTGAGCACTTTCCAACTAAACTAGAGTTAATGTGACCATTGCCCTCAATGAGCTCTTTGGCTCCTTATTAGTAAAAAGCGATCTTATTTTTAATACTATTAAATATTTGACCATTCATAATTTTCTAAAAAATCGTTATAAGTGTTCTCTTAATTATCAAATATTTATATAGCGAAGAGTCAAGTATTTTTCAATGTTAACGAATTCAGCTAGTTAGTTACATCCACTACAATATCTCTGTAAGGAGGATAGTCACAATAATCTCGACGATGAACCTCGACTTGACTATTTTAGGTGCACATTATTTATTTGTAGTAGTTAATTGGCAAAATGTGCTTAAACATTTCCAAGTAACTACATTTATAACTAATCTAAAAACATAAAAAAAAATAAAAAAAATTCTAACATTGCTCAGTTGAATGATTCATCACACATCTATAATCAAAAAAAATGTTAAAATACAAATTTATTTTCTAGTAGCACACTAATTGATTAGCTTATAAATCAAGAATCTAATGAAGAACATCAACAACAGAGAAAAAATGAACGAATCCCGGAAGAAGAAGGAAGATTTCACAGTTGAGATTGATCTTTGCCCAGATTTGAGAAAGTGGAAGAAGCAGTGGAAGCTTTGGAAGAGAGGCTTTTGCCTGAAAACGGGGCTTGGCCTTGTAAATCGCCGCTCTGTATACTAGACGGCGGCCGCAACGATTCCATTTCCGCACTCAAGAACACGGCAGATCTCGAGAATCCTGGATATTCCAATCGTAGATTCGGCAATGGCGCTTTGAAGTTGAGCATGTCGATCACCTGTTTGATGGATGGCCGCAGAGAGAAATCAGACTGAGCGCAGGCGAGTCCGACGATCAACAGTTGCTTCATCTCTTCTCTCTTGAAGTTATGGCGCAGTTTTGGGTCGGCGGCCTCGATCACGTTCTCTCTTCGGTAATAATCCCAAACCCATTCCGATATCTTTATCAAACGCTTCTTCCCGTCCTCTCTGATTTCTCCCAGGGCTTGTTTTCCGCAGGCGATTTCCAAGCAGACGATGCCGAAGCTGTAGATGTCGGATTCTTTACTCGCTACACTGCTTTCCAGGTACTCTGGTGCGACGTAGCCTTCTGTTCCTCGTAGAATTGTGGTTATTGATTGTTTTCCATGATCGACGAGCTTGGCGAGCCCGAAATCGCCGAGCTTGGCGTTGAATTCGGCGTCTAATAGGATGTTGCTTGATTTTATGTCTCTGTGTAGAATGTATGGATCTTGTTCCTCCTGTAGATAGTGCAGTGCAGAGGCCAAACCTACTGTGATTTTGTATCTGTGATCCCATGTTAGGAGGTTGTTTTGCTGAAAGAGGTGGAAATCTAAGCTCTTGTTGGGCATGAATTTGTAGACTATGAGATATTCTTGGTGTTTGCTGCAGCACCACCCAATGAGCTCTACCAAGTTCTTGTGTCTTAATTTGCTGATTGTTTTGACTTCTGATGCAAACTCTCTTGACCCTTGATGGGGGTTGTTTGGGGTGATTCTCTTCACTGCCACATCAAGTTCCTTGTTGTTTAGAAACCCTCTGTAAACCTTTCCAAAGCCACCTTGTCCCAACACATTCTCATCACTGAACTTGTTGGTTGCTGCTAATAAGTCTTTATATGAAATCTTCCTTGGCCCTGTTTCCTTCTCAAAATCTTCCTCTTGGTCCCTTCTCATGCTCTGTCTTTGGCTGGTTCTCTTCATCCACAGCCAAAACCAAGCAAATCCGAGAATCATAGCAAATGAAAACGCCACAGCCACCAAGATGATCCCGAACCTTTTCATGTTGATTCCTTTCTTGGAATTGACTGGAGAACTAGGAGAACTAGCTGGACTGATGGTGGTGACATCTTCAACTTGTAATCTAGAGGTGAAATTCCACGAGCGAATCATATGAATCTCGGATAAGGATCCGGTTGATCCCGAGAAGCCAATTGTTACCCACTCTGGTAAATGCTCTCTCAAATCAATATTGTAAATGAAAATAGAAGAGTTCCTTGGAGGAACTTCAGAATCTCCTTCATCAAACAGGAAAACAGTCAAGTTGTGGGAGCTTGAATTGTAACTTATACAAGCTTGAACTTTCCCACCATTTTCTATGTCACTCCACCACCATGAAGTAGAGCTTGGAGATCTAACAGAGCCGACATCAACACCGATGTGATTCCCCGATGGGTCCCATTTGTTTGTATAGGTATCAAACTCAACAGCAACAAAGTTAGCTTTCGAGTTCTCTGGATCACTCTGGTTGGAATGCAAGAGACCGAAGTTACCACCTCCCGATTCAGGCAAAAGCGTCGAGCCATTTGGTGCAAGGAAGAAGGCAAAGCCGTCACCAAAGGAGTGACTTCCCTGCGAATCAATGGAGAAGGAGAATTGGGTGGTGAAGTCTGCAAGATTATTCTGGCCATTCTCCCAAAGATGGAGAGGATCTTTGTACGTGGCGCGGCCAACGCTTCCATTGAGAGGCATGTCTCTCTGGTTTATAGTAAGCTGAATGACATTGTTGGAAGAGTATGCATCTCCTTCGTAAACAATGTCGTGGCCATTCGGGTCGAAATGAAGGAGGCTGAACGTCAAGTTCTCAGAAGAAATGGTGGCTGAGATTGAAACTAAGTTGGTTATGCTCCACAAGAAGTTAGAGTAGAAGAAGATGATGAGGAAAAGGTTTGGACATGTGAGAATGGAGACCTCCATAGGGGACATGGATGAAGAGATCTAAGGCAGCCATGGAGGAGAAGACTCGAATTTATACAATATTGATGGTCTTCGAGTGGCCTCTCTCTCTCTCTCTCTCTCTCTCTCTTCTCCTCCCTCCAGCAGGGCAACTCGATGGAGCTCTTGAATTTGCCCAAATTTTCCAAGCCGAAAGGGACCCTTGGGAATCTTCCTGTTGAATCACAGTCGACGTGTAATAAAAGTCTACATGTAAATAAATTCTCAGAAAGTTTTTTCTTTTACCTGCCACATCTTTTCAAGGGAGAAATAGTCGGTTTATATCAAACCATGAACTAATAACTTCATCAATTAAAACTCTAAACTTAGTTTTAGTGACTTAACTTTGTCTTTGGTTCTTCACCAAAAAAAACTGTCTTTGGTTCAGTTTTGTTACAGGGAAGTTAGTGAAATTGCGTTGTGCATGTGTGGATTCTAGCCTTTTATATTTTAGTTAGAAGAGAAGGAAAAAATGGTCAATTGCTCGTTGTTTTGGCCTGTTTATCTCTGTAAATTATTATAAAATATCGTGGAAAAGTCTCATAAAAGTAATGAAACAATTCAAGAAATTAAATCTCATAAGTGAAAAAAGTTTTTTCAGGTAAGGTATAACTTTTGTGGTGACCTTATGAATAGACAAAGCCCGTGTCGTTGTTGGAAATCCTTCTACTGGCAACAATAGGAATAAAACATCATAGTTGGAGGAGTAATGAGATCTCCCAGCGCAGTTAAACTCCAACTCACTACTTTCATCGTGACGTTCTCTCGATAACGTTCTCAGCCAGCAACCTTGTTCTTCCTCTTTTTGAATTTAACTTCTCAGTGTTCACGTAGGCTAAATCTCGTACATTAGTGCGAATGCGTAACGATGGAGAGTAGTAGAAATATGTTTATGCAAAAAATGTGACAGGGTATGACCTGGTCAACAGGGAAGAGCTCGACCTACTCCAGCATGAGTTGCATAAACATTTGGCGCCGTCATTCGGACTCAAAACTGACTTGAGCGTCGGAGTGTTTGTTCCCTTGTGCAGGTATTTCCTCGCCAAGTGGCCTTTCAGCTCATTCCAGACACCAGCTCATCCCAGTCAGCCGACCTTGACCCTTTGAGCTGGTCATCCCTTTCCAAGGATACCCAAGCTCTTCCCTCGGTCATACCTGAAGCAGGTCATGGTCTTCCCGCAGTCATACCTGAAAAGCAGGTCATGCTCTCCCGACGGTCATACTTGGAGTAGGTCGAGCTCTTCCCTGTGGCCGACCTTGACCCGGTCATACCCCGTCACATTTTTTGCATAAACAAAATATGTAATGGTTGAGGCACTAGTGTAGTTGTACTTGGCGCTAATGTATGTGTTGGGAGAATTTACTCGAGGCGATGATAGTAGTGGAAATATGTATGGTGGAGACACTAGTGTAGTTGTACTTGGCGCTAGCGTATGTGTTGGGAGAATTTACTCGAGGCGATGAGTATATCATACAGTTTGTAAAGTTGCATATGTTTTTGTTGACCTTTTAGATTTTGGTTGAAAATGTGGTGAATGGATTATCATTTAAGTTACGAGGTACTATGAAAATTTCAAAAGCATTTTTAATGGATTAAAATCACCTTTCGACGATTTTAAAAGTCATTTCAAACTCATGATTAACTAATAATTTACTAATTGTAAGGACTACAATTACTAAAGTAGGGAGCTTAAAACAAATGTAAAATTATTCCAACGAACTAAATAATAAATAGTAACTTATTTTGCTCTAATAGGTTTCTAAATTTAAAGGTTAATTAATAAATAGTAACTTATTTTGCTCTAATAGGTTTCTAAATTTAAAGGTTAATTAGTGTTTCAAACCTAATATTTTAGCATGTCATAATGCTTACAAATAAATGAGGTGATTTCTAAGATAACACGCATTTGGTAGGTTGGAAAGGGATGAGTCATCTTAATGACTTCGTTTGAAGATTAAACGTTGAAAAGAAAAGGAAACAACTTGACACTTCGTAAAGGTCGAGCTGAGATATATAAGGTTGGTTGTCCGGAACTTCGTAAAGGCCGACCAGGCTAACGAAGAGCCTAGTAAGCTAACCCTCGTAAGGGACAAATCTAGGATCATTGCATCATAACTGTCTTGCCTCGTTATTCGAGTACGCAAAACTATTTCACACAAAGTATTAGACCGGATAGAGCAGATACTTTTCCTAGTTTTCTCTGTACGTACACAAAGTTGTTCATTTCGTGATCAAGCAATCTTGATACTTTCATACTACCATAGTTAGAAAAATTGAGGGAAAAAAAATCAACATTATAAATATAAATTTTAATAACAAGAAATTATAATTTGTTTAGAAAGTGTGAAGTGTTTATTTATTAATTTAAACTTTTTGAGTTCAGTGTATGTATATGTATATATATATTTCTAATTGTTTACCCATATTTTAATCCACATTTTCATAAAATTTAAGATATCAACATTTTAATTGACATTGATATTAATTTAAGAAATCAACATTTTAATAATCGACATTAATTTACTTTCCATGGTTATACCATCTTATTGAATATATTACAACATTCTACGAAGTTTTAGGAGAAATAAACGAGAAAGGGTTTCTAGAAGAAAGCGATACGTAGTACCTTCCTATCTCCTAAGTCGAACAAATTTATTTCCATACTTAGAAATTCGTAGATCTTTCCTTTAAACTCTTACAATATTATCCACTTAAAATAATACATTATTTATTTTCCTTTAATATTTTATGGTCCAAGTACTTGAATTAAATGCTCGTATATTTGAGTCAATTAAGTTTACAGTAATATATTAGTTTAAGTTTTTATAATAATTTAACATAGTACGAAAGTATAAGCTCAACCCACTCATTATAATACGACATAATTTAATTTGTAAAATTACACTTCTATTTTATTGGTGGTGTTTAACTGTGTTTTACATTACGAATAATGCGATTTGAATATTTTATTTTTATCTTGTTTAGACAGACGAGAAGGATTTGAAATTTTTCAAAACAAAAAAGATAAAAAAAAGATGGATTTGACATAAATATACATTAAGTATCTTTGATTTTTTTTTTATGTCGGCTTTTTAATCTTGATTTGAATGATTAAATAAGTGTATATATATATATATATTATGATAATGTGACATTCGGAATGTAGTGGTAGGACCCAAACATGAAAAACTTTAAGTTGAAAAGCTACTCAGTTCAGACATGATCTGATATATATGTATATGTATTAGCAATATGATATATATGTATATGTATTGAGTATAGTTCAACTAGTTAAGATATTATACTTTTATTTGGAAATAAATTGTTAGTGTAGACAATAAATGTTAAAGATTTCACATTGAAAAGATAAGTAACATAACAAAGATTTATAATAGATACGAACTACTCCTCTTATTGTCAATTTGATTTTAAGATGTAACCTCAGGAATATTAATTCTTTTTTTGGAAACGTTTCTCAAAATTTAGAAACGAAAAATGAGCTTGGTTATTAAATATGTTCTAAAAAAATGAGAAACGAGAAACAAGAAACGGAAACATTACCAAACGAGATCTAAGAAACCTAACAAAGACCTATAATTATTACTCAAAAGACACTTGTTGTCCGACTATTTGTGCTATATTCATATTTATTTATATAGCAATAATTAATAATGAGTTAAATTATCTATATTTACACTTTCAAATATACCCTTTTAGTAAATATTAGGAAAAAGAAAGGTATAATTAATGTTCACAATTTATTTCTTTGAAAGAGAGAGGGAACTTCACAATCACCACAGAGAAGACTATAAGGTTGGTTGGTGGAGCTGTATTTAAAACATTTTTTTACTCGCAATACTTTTATCAGCATAATTTTAATAAAATTACTTTTAAATAAACTATTTTAAAAATTTGTTAGGCACTAATATACCTCTCGCAAAAAAAAAAATATATATATATATATATAAACAATATTTTAGAAGTAGTTTCTCAGGTACAATAAAGGTTAAGAACAAAACTGACAGAAAATATGTCAGGACCTAGACCTAACTATATTGTAAAATAACAAAATTATGATCAACGTATTTTAAAAGAACAACTAAAATAGTAATTTCAAGTACACAATGACCAACAAAAATCCCGAGCTAGGCACACGGGCAGTGTGATATTGGTTCCACAAGGCATAGAAATGAGAAATCCTGGGTAGAAGGGTAGCGTGTGACATAAATTTCAATAGAAGGTCTATATAATATATGATATTTTCTGGCCACAGCTGGCCTTGTGGGTCATATATATGGGAGGACCATATAGCCCAAAAAATAATTAAAAAAAAAAAAAAAAAACTTAGCTGTGAACAATACACAATATATAGAAATTATAGCTAATTTCCAGCATGCCCCTTTTGAATGCCCACATTATGACATTTTGATTTGGATGGGCTATAATAATAATAATAATGCATCCTTTCAATAAAACTTTCTTGTGCCAAAATCAGTCAATTCTTTCATGATATGGTTTGATTTTGTATTTAATGGTTTCTGTCTTGTAAAATTGGTGACTGACCATTGTCTTGGTTGGTGTTCTTCATCATTCAACTCACTTTTTTATTTGTTTAAATACTATTTTAGACCAATTTTTTTTTCTTTTACTTTCTTTCATTTTCATTATATATTTTTAAATTTGGTTCATTTTACCTTCAAAACATCCCTTTTAATCTATTTACTTTTAAAAAAGATTATTTTAATCCATATTTATGCAAATTTTTAACCCAAACTTTATATACAAGGAAAATTCTCCAAAATTCTTTGTTGGAGAGATAAAACATGCATATAAATTAAGGAAATACAAAATTAATCAACAGTAGCATTGTTTCCTTACAATTTTGTTCCTTCTCAAGGTTTCATAAACAATTGTTTCTCAGGATATGATAGATTACCAACCTGTGAGTGCAGCACTTCAATCACATGACTCAACGAACACCACCACTTAAGTAATCGTACAGAGAAAAGGAAGAGAATTTTGAGGGAAGATTTTTCTATGTTTCAAAACTGAAAAGAGTCACATATTTATAGACTATTTGTGGCCATTCAAATAGTCACATATTTTCATATAAAGTTATGTGTCTTGATAAAAAGACATATCATTTCATATAAGGTTGTGTCGTTTACAAAAAGACATATCATTTCTTCATAGTTTCTTCATTTTTAATAAAAATAATTTTATTCATAAAATCCAACCTTCGTTAATGCAAATTTATGGTTATATTCCAAGAAAGTTAGTGAGTAAAGTGCCAGATTGAAATAAATGAGATAAAAATGAAACTGAAGTTACTAAAATGATCATTTTTTTCTTTCATATTAAAGGTGTGTAGGTAGGTACATGATATCAACATGGTAGGAATAATAAGAAGTTTATGATAAATAATTGTGACACGGGAACAAAAAGAAAAAAGTTCAATTTTTTTTTAAAATTAATTCTTGGAATTTTCGTACCTATTATATGTTTAGGTCCTAGACATTAAGATATTTTATTTTGGTGACTAAATTTTATCATATGTTTAGTTTTGATCTCTCAACTGCTAAGGACATCGGTATAATTCCTACGACTTTGCTTTTTATTTCACCCAAAAGATCTCATATCAATATAGATAATTATCCTTCCCTAACCAACGTAGGACTTTATTTACCTTCACCTTCACCTTACAAATCCAAGTACTTCTAGATTTTATATTCGTCTCATTGGAAGTTTAAATCAAATAAGATTTATTCAGAAACTCAATACTTGGCTTATTATACGTGATTTAAAATAACTTTTTATCTCATTAGACGTTCAAAAATCAAATAAAAATTATTCAGAAACTCGATACTTTGACCTATCATATGTGACTTAAAATACTTTTTGTGATCTTTGATTCTATAGTTTAAAATATTATTTTTAAGAAAAAGTTCTTAAAATTAAATAAACCCTTATTTAAATATTTTTTTTTATTTAAAAGTACTTGCACTAATAATTTGTTCATTTCGTAGATTGCAATAGTACTCTCAAAGTTTTGTAGTATAGCATATTATTGGAATGATGATGTTCATGAAAATGTTATATCACCTTTTTCATTTTGCAAATATTAAAGAAAAATGTAACGTTGTGTTGCTTGTTTCTGTTTCTTCTATTTTTAATAAAGAAAAATGAATTGTATAGTCCAAATATCAATGAATTCAAGTACGATAAAACAATCTTTTTATTTATGATTTGGAATAAATTGGAAATGAGAACGAGAAATAAGAAACTTGTTTTGCTTGTTTCCAAAATTTTTATACAATTTTGAGAACATCTCTAAAAAAATGTGAAACAAAAAATATAGTTAGTTGCAATATGCTTAAATTTCTTAAGAAATTTTGAAACGAGAAACAAAAAACGGAAACGTTACCAAACGAACCTTAATATATTCCAAAAACTTGAATATTACCGTGTTAATTTTAATATTTGTTTATTGAAACGACTATTGCCTTAATTTATCACCATTTCTTTTGATGTATAGGTAAAGAACATTAATGCATTTGGTGCCACAAAACACATAAGAATTACGAATTCCTAAGGTAGGTTGCCTTCATGAGATTTTAACTCATTCTCTCTTAATTAACCCGAGCTAATTTGGACCAATGAGGCACCCGTGATAATTTTATAGAGAGAGATTTAGTTAGAAATTTAGAAAGAAATCTACAATAGAGATAACATGAGAAATTAATGGCTAATTCGAAATACAAACTGAGTAAATAAGAGAAATTAATGATAGAAAGTAGATGTAAAAAGTAATTAATTAGTGAGAGAGATTAATGTTTGTATAAAAAGAGATGTTTACTGAAGTTAGTATAAGAGATATAATATTCTATTTCACCAAAAATAAAGAAAGAGAATGTAATTTGTAGAAGGATATTAATAAGAGAAATGATGTGTAATAAGAAATGGTTAGAGAAATTATATGTGGAAAGAGATTTTCTTCTATTTTTATTTTTATTTTTAATATAATAACATGGCGGATAGAATTAGAATTCAATCTTTTGATTAGAGATAGATATCTTAACCCGTTGAACTAAACTCTTGTTGGTGTGTAAAAGAAAAATGAGCGGGGAATATTAAGTTACTGAAAGATTATGTGTGAGAGATACAAAGAAATTAGCGAAACAAAATTTTGTATAAAAGACAGTGAATCATGAAAGAAGGTATTTATTCGTGTAGGGACGGCAACAGCGTGGCGAGGACAAGATAAGACAATTTGGAGAATTGGAGTTAGAGTGGAAATTCTTCTTAAAAATTGTTTTTTTTTTTGGGTATGTAGATGAGATGTGTGTAATTTTGGATGACCACGTTTATTTCGTAAGAAAATATATAATCATGTTCGGAAATATCTGAATAGCCATGTTTGTTTTGCACTATTTATTCATAGGAATGTTTAAATTTATATAATGTTCTAAAAACACCCTTACGAATATTCATATAATTTATACATTAATCTAATATAATTTGAATTTATCTAATATATATTTTTTAAATTAATTTAATATTTTGGTTTTTTATATTAATGGTATATGTTAATTTTTTATGATATTAGGTAGAATTCGTATTAATGTAAGACTTTTTAAAAAGTAATTAATATTGAATATAATTTTAAACTTTAATATCTTCCAAAATATACAATTATATAATTAATGTTATAGGAGGTGAAATTCATTTATTATATTATCAAATTATATTCTTTAAGAAGAAAAAAATATCTTTAAAATGATGTATTTAAGCTAATAGATATTATTCATAATAATTCCTTCCAAATATTAAAATCAAATATTAAAAATAAATAAAGATATTATATAATTTAATTGAAGTTTATTTTACATGTACATGTAATATAGAAATATACTTAATTGTATTAAATTATTTATTAATTAGTGAAAAGAAATTTTATAAAAGAAAATATATGAAAAATAATGAAGCGACAAAAATGTTAATATAAGATGTCTTTGACATGGAACTCATGTTTCAAAAGGGCATCCAAAACAACTCGAATGTTTTAAGATACCCGGGACATCTTACATTCCCAGAAAACAAATGTGAAAATCGTCTCATAGAAATTTTGGATTCCCACAAGGAGGAAAATCTATGTTTGGTAATTTTTAAATAAAAAGTATTTATTTATTTAAAAATATAAAATATTATTATGATTATTATTATTTTGCAAATGTATTAAAATATCTGGTAATTATGCTTTAAACAAGTAGTTTTTAAAAATATTTAATATATTTTATTAATAATTTAATTAGAACAAAGTTAGAGAGAAGTTATACAATTAGCCCAAAAATATTAAGAATTGCAAGCCAGAGAGGCGCTAGTAACATAAGTATTACAATAGGCCCAAAATAAACCAAAGTATTTATAAAAAATATTTCAATTAATAATTATGCTCAAGTTCTTTATAAATCTTATTATTAGTATTTATATATTCGTATGGGTGACAAACGAATATTTATAATAGATACTGATTAATTCTTCGTATGGGTGACAAACGAATATTTATAATAGATACTGATTAATTCTTAGTATTGATATCGAACTCTCCAATTTATAGATATATCACAACATATTGACAAATATTTTAATCTCTATGAGAACGTAATCATAGGGAAATCGAGGTTTTTATCCATTTTCTTAATATAATTCAAACTTTTGACCCTTTTTTTAAAATCTCTTATTTATGACCCTAACTTTTAATTTTTGACCTATTTTAATTTTTTTATTTTATAAAATTATCAAAATATCTTCATTACTCACCATCTTTATTCCCTCCATCAATATCTTCACAAATTTCTTTGATTTGAATCTAATATTGAAAAAAACCGAAAAAATCTCAACAGTAATCAATTACAGACCTAAAAAATCTAATTTTTAAACTTTAAAAATCAATTAAATGGAATATTAAATAGTTAATGGTTTAATATGGAAAATCGAATTTAAGATAGTCCAGATTTCGGATAAAATATTGTATTTAATGCCTAAGATTTAATTGAAAGTCCAACAATAAATGCAAAGAAAAAGGAAGAAAAGGGAAGGAATTGCGTGAATCCGGACCCAAGATACACACCATTCCTGTGTATGAACGCTAATAATCCACCGGAATTTAGCCACGGGAGGATTTACGTAGATTTTGTTTACTTTTGTTTTGTGGATTGTTCTGGGTTCTCAATTTGATAATTGATTCTTAAATTAAAATATTTTTTGTTCCTATTAGATTCAAATTAAAAAGAATTTGTGAGTCTCAAATTATAATGAAAGGGGTCACAAATTAAGTTTGGTTAGAAAGCGGTAAAAAATCTGACCAAATAAATTATAGAATGAGGTTAGATACTCCAATTTCCCTAATAATACAGTAGGATGCACATAACATTTACTCATTATTGAGACTTGAATTATCGTGTGTTCAAAAGTGAAACAGATGCAGAAAAATTAGAGGCAGAAGAAGAAACAGTGTCTTGTGAAGAATTAGTGATGACATTTGAACAAGTACCTGAAAATGAAGAAGAAGCTGCAACTGATCCACCAATGGGAAGAGATAGATAACTGGGTGTAGGTAGTTGTGAGGGAAGAACTGGCAATGGTGCTTCAAAGTTCAACACATGAATCACTTGTCTCATTGAAGGCCTGCAATTTCTATCTGGATGAGCACACCACAGACCCACCACCATCAAACACTCAATTTGTTGTTGTTGTTGTTGTTCATCCTGAAAGCTTCCATGGAGTTTGGGATCAGTTGCTTCAACAAGATTTCCAGAGCCATAAAGCTCCCAAACCCACTCCACCATCACCATCTTCCCTTCCTCTGCATTCGGGTCGAACGGCCTTCTTCCACACGCAATTTCTAAAGCGACCATCCCGAAGCTGTAAACATCTGATTCCTTACTGGCCCTTCCTGTCGTGGCGCATTCAGGAGCCATGTAACCCATTGTGCCAGCCAGAACAGTTGTTTGTGAGCCTTTGGCATGGTCCACCAGCCTAGCCAACCCAAAATCCCCAAGCTTGGCATTGAAATTTGAATCCAACATCACATTGCTTGACTTTATATCTCTATGCACCACACATTTCTCCCACTCTTCATGTAGATACAGCAAAGCTGAGGCAATTCCTTGAGCAATTTTGTACCTGAACTCCCATGTCAAGAAGCTATTTTGTTTGAAAAGATGGGCATCTAAGCTCCCATTTGGCATGAACTCATAAACCAACAAGAGCTCACCTCTTTCATGGCACCAACCAATGAGTTGCACCAAGTTTCTATGCCTCAGTTGGCTTATGATCTTCACCTCAGATGCATACTCCTTTACCCCTTGTCTAGACCCTTTTGACACTTTCTTCACAGCAACATAACAATTCAAGTCCCTCAAAAAACCTCTATAAACACCCCCAAATCCTCCCTCACCAAGCTTCTCACCCTCGTCGAAATTCGTTGTGGCTCGAACCAGTTCACTATACAAAAACTTTCGAGGCCCTTTACCCCTTTCAAACTCACTCTCATCCAACACAATATCCTCTTGATCATCCATGTTCATCTTCTTGTTCTTCTTCCTCCAAAAAACTATCCCTACCACGATCAACCCACCCACCAAGATAAATCCTCCAACTCCAACTCCCACTCCAACCACTAGACCCACCTTGTTGTTTCCATCACTGGGATCACTTGGGACAACCACAGGAATATTAGATTTCAAGTTGAGGGTGGAGTTAAAATACCAAGAATACAGGGTATGCATTGCATACCTAAATCCAGTGGAAGCAGAGAACCCAAAAGTAACCCATTCAGTAAGATTATGTTGTCTCAAATCCACAATATAATTAAGTGTTTGCCACACCGTGTTGTTATTCTCAAACCCAGTGAAAGCAACACTCAAATTATGAGTCACAGAATCGTACTTAATCCAGACATCACTCCTCCTCCCTCCCTTTACATCAGATTTCCACATTGAATAAGCAACAGATTTCATAGAATTAACATCAATACCTACATGTTCCCGCATTCCAGGTGGGTCAAAATCGTTGCTGAAGATGTCAAACTCCACAGCGAAAAACGTAGCAGTGGCATTGGAGAGCTCAGGGTCGTAGCCAATCCCCAAGCCGCTGCCTCTGGAGACATTGGGCTCGAGCCTAGAACCATTGGGAGCAAAGAAGAAAGTGAAGCCATCTCCATATTCATTCGATCCCCTCGAATTGATGCTGAAGGAGAAGTGGGTTTGGAAACTGGAGAGGTTTCCGGAGGGTTTGTCCCAGAGATGCAAGGGCTGGAAGTAGGTGGCCCGGCCGACGAAGTTCATGTTGCTGTTCGCTGAGTCTCCGGTGAGCTCGATGGCTTGATTGGCTACGAATGGCCTGTCGTAGGCGATGGCGGTGTTGGCGGGGTCGAAGGAGGTGAAATTGAAGGATAGAGAAGTTGCAGATGTGGGTGCGGGAGAGAGGAAGATGATGAAGATGAAGAGATGAAGAGGGAAATTGGAGATGGGGTTTTGGGCAGCCATTGAAGAGTGAAATTGGGGATGAGGAGCTTGTAAATTGAAATTGTAGAAGATGAAGAGAGCTTGACGATTTCATTTTGGGCAAACAATTGGATTGAAAGAGGAAGTTTCTTCACTCAATTGATCTTCCAAGTCCCTTTCCTTTTTAATTTTTTGCTAATTTCCATCACCCACTCTTGACCAACTATTCAAATTAAATAAACTTTGAGTTTTTGTTTAATTAATCCTTTTTGTTTTGAAATTTCATGAGTGCCGGATCAGCTGATTTATATAATTGGATGATGTCAAACTCTGACAGAAGTTAATTTGACTCATTCACCAAATTGATAAATTAATTATTTTTATAGAAAAATCTAAATTTTTTTTATTTCTCTCGTGAAATATTTAATAATGACAGAGGACAAAATTACTCTTTGTGGGAGAGTCAAGTATTTTCCTATTCTGACCTCCTAATTTACTTATCTACGATGGAGTAGCGTGGTAGACTTATGATGAAGGGATGTTTGGAATACGTGCACAAAGAGAATAGATACTCCGACCTATAATGTATATTTATTCATAATTAGTCAAAGTTAAATCATAACTTTCAAAAACTCATAAATTAACATATGTCTAAGTTAAAAAATCATTGAGTAAAAATAAAAATCATTTTTTTCTCTATAAAATAATTATTTTATCAATATTTGGATTGAAGATTTTATTAAATATATTTTTATCAAATATACTCATCACTTTTGGAAGGTTCAGATATTATTATCTACTCATTTTTTTAGCCAATATTATCAATGGTAACAATCAAGTAAAATATCACCATCTTGTTTAGTTATTTCTAAAGTAAATAAATATTGGAAGAGAAGGTCAACGTGAACATAGTTCAGCTGTTGACTCATTCTTTTAAAGTTGGAAGTTCAAATCTCGACTTTCACATCCGATAACTATAATGGTGATGTGTGGCGACATAGTGATATATATCTTTCCTGTTAGAATAAATAAATAAATCCTGAAAAGTGTTCGTTAATTACCTCACGTTTTCTTAACCCTTTGTTGAAGAACATATAAAAAATTAATATTAGGTCAATTTCAAAATTAATAAATGAATGTCACATCAACCTCAAAATTAATAATAATAAAAAGAGGGACCAATAAAAATGTCAAATTTTAGGACCAAAGACTATGTCAAACAAGGACATAAATGTAAAATTCTCCCGATCCTTGACAAGTACATATATTATCAAATTAACTCTTGCAATTTCCAAATTTTTTTCAAATTCTCTCGAAATTTAGCGCATATAAGTTGCTCAATCGTAATTGGTACCTACTTTCAATAAGAAGACCATAAGTTGAATCTCCCATCCTATTGATGGAAAAAAACCTTTGCAAATTTCAAATTTTCAAAACTAAAACCCAAGTTATACTACTTCGAACTTTTGTCCATTTTCTAGAAAAAATTACACAAATTCAAATTCTTACCCCACTTAATTACAATTAGTTGGTTATACAAAATCAATTTAGTTTATTCAACTCTTAGCCACACAAATTTGAACTTTCTAAATCCATGACGGAAACATTTCTTTTAAGAAATAGATATGTCCAATTAATTAACCTTATCTTTTTAAAGAAAAATAAATAAATTTATTATTATTTTTTTAGTTCAACAATACGACGAAATAAACCTTCTTATCTTTTCGTTGTAAATATATATATAAAGGTATGCTAAAGTTGGTACTTAACAATTTTTTTTAATTTTATACATATGTGTATAGCTATATTTATTATAGCTAGTTTTTACTACGTGCACGAGGTTTGAGAAGAGTAACATATGGTTCAATTATAAAATTTGAATTAAAATTTTGTTGTTACGAAAATTCGAACACTTTACCTGAGTTTTGTTGTTGAATTTCTCATTTTGCATTGTTGTGCTATTTGAAAAAAAAATAATCTCAAAGAGTGAAAATAATAACGGTTCATAGTTAAATTATTACATTTACTATCTCCGTATAATATATATATTATTATGAATTTTTTAAATTAAATAGATGCTCACTAATCCTTGCTTAGTGTCCAAATCTTGAGGTGTCTCATGATCCATACTCCATATGTCCGTGTTTTTTATTCATAACCTCATATGTTCCATTATCTATGCACCATGTGTGGAAACCCTAATGCCCCATATGTCTCAATTTTAGACATTATTAGTGTCATGTAAATCACACCACATGCTTCTCCATGACCTATAAATAAGGTCAATGTGTGCTCATTGTTAGGAAGAATTAGTGAGAAATTAGTGGTGAGAAATTAGTGAGAAATTTGGTGGGAAATCAAGTTTGAAAATTGGTGGGAAATGCCATTTTGAATTTTGAATTTTCTTTTATTATTTGGATTGTTTTGTTTATTTTATTTCCCGACGTTGCCTCGTTTCGTTCCTCAATTTTACAACATATATATTTTTTTTTAGACTTACTTTCTCCGTATAATAGATTTGTGTTTGGTGGGTCTTTTGCACTTTTTATATATAATAATAAAATAAAAACAAATAATTGCTAGTTTAAATGTTTTATTACTTTATATTTTTGAATATCAAGTCGGGTGTAGATTCGAATTTATGTCCGTTAACTTTAAACTTCATTGAAAATAACTCATAGAATTTCATTGAATTAGGAATGAAAGTCTAATTCAAATAATAGAATCAAAACTACATCTAATTTAATCTAATTATAATTCAAATAACATTATCTAATAATGATCTTTTAATTAGAGACAAGTATTGACGATCCTAAGTTAAATGTTTTAGATTCAGATAAATCCGAAAATAAATGTGATTAATGTCTTCTACTAAAAAAACCAATGTCATCCTGATTAATTTTTAATTTTTATTTCTTTTAAGAGAGTCATCTTGATTAATTATGCTTAACCCATGCCAAGCGACCAAAAATATTATTTAAAAATCAATTGAAAGAACCGTTTTACTTGGAGAAAAATAAGAGGTCAAAATTCAACCTCAAAGTCTACTAGTCTCCTCTTTGACCAAGTCCAAGCCCTAGAATCCAACGCACGGTTTTTAACCAATATTTAAGGCCATCGATGTCTTAATTTTATAGATATAGAATAGAAACATTGGATTAGTGTATTAACGAATATTGATAAAAATAAAAATATATATATCTATATCTATATAGTATATTGAATATATTAATTGGCTCCTAATCTTGAGTCATCGACATCAAACTATATGATTTATTAAAATATCAATTGAAATACTATGTAGTTTATGAATGCATTTTTACACTTACCATTTGACTTCTCTTGTCTCTAGCTACAGTAATATTGTATAGATATTATCAAATGTTTGTGTAAGAGAAAAAAAAAAGTAAATTAGTGATTGATCAAAATGTAGAAAAATTAAGAAAATACAACAATAGCGTTGTTTTTTTAAGATGATTTTGTTTCCTTTATAGTGTTTAAGGTATCACGAACAATTATCTCCCAAGATAGAACGTAACGTGTAAGTACAACACTGTGTCATTTAAAAAGACACATAATTTCATGAAAAGTTGTGGTATTTCATTTTTATTAAAAATAATTTTATTCTTAAATTCAAACCATTAGTTGATACTCTATATTCAATCGAGTCTCTAACTTAGATATTTTTATCTATCTGATCCTTAAAAGTAAAAAAGAAGCATTTTAATAAATTTCAACTATTAGGAAGTTAAATGTTAAAATCACATGTTTGATTTGGCAAATAAGTAATAATTTCACACCAGGTAACTCAAGTCAATTAGATAAAATAAATGCTGGCATTTCAAGAATTAAATTTAAAATGTATAGGCGTCCACGGACTCCAACATATTTTTTTGCCCATCCACTCTTATTTCTTATTTTATATCGAATTAACTAAAGTATGTCAATTTTATTTTTTATTACAATAAATGTCGGGACAGAGAATCATCCTTCAACAGTAGTGGAGAATGAAGATAAGTCAACTTAGTTCTATTGGTTAACGCACCTAGATTCGACTAAAATCAAAATTAAGATACCGATATTTATCTTAAGATCCAAATTCAAACCTAGGTTAAAAAAATCTTGAACTCATTTTTATTATAATAAAAAATCAAAACCTAATTAAAACTTTATAATATTTAGTGACTAGGGTACAAACTTTTTCTAAAATTACAAAATCTTATTTATTTATTTATTGTTTTCAAAGATTGATGGAATACGCGCGAAAAGCACTGTGAAAGCAAAGAAGACAGGATGGAACAGGCAAGCCATGGCCGAAGAAAATTCAAAATCCAAAGCCAAGATTGACGATGAAAACTTCTTGACCAGGTCGCTTTTGGTGTCCTCAGGCGATCAATCGGGTTGGTGACTGACATTAACGTCCATAAATCCACAAATCCACAAATCAAATGGCGGAAAATGAAATTCAGATATTGCTTCCATTCTTCAGATTTGCCCTAGTTTCAAAATGTGTTCTGAATCTTCAGATTATCCTGTTAAATCTTGTTTGTTGTTGTTGTTGTTGTTGATTTGCACCTTCTTCTTCCATTGTTGCAGCTCCGCCAATTTCTCCTTCTCTTCTTTCCCCGATTTGACCAATATCACTCTCGTCAACAGTGCGTCAAGAGGCACGGTTCTCAATCATCCTTCTCTCCGCCTCACCGACAACCAGATCGGCGGCAGCATCGCCAACGACACCGGAAGAGCTTTCTTCTCGGAGCCGATTCAACTGTGGGATCCAACCACCAACATAACTGCGGATTTCACTACTTATTTTGAGTTTGTGATCTTGTTTTCCAACGGTAGGCCGAACGCCTCCGCCGGCGGAATCGCTTTCTTCATAGCTTCAGAGAATTCCACATCGCCTCCTTTGAATTCCGGCGGCGGTTGGCTAGGGTTATTCAATCAATCGAATGACGACAATCCATCCAATCAGATGGTCGCCGTCGAGTTCGATATTTTCCGAGATCCATGGGATCCTAGCGATAATCATGTCGGCGTCGACGTGAACTCCATCGTCTCCGTCGCTAATCGTACTTGGAGTAACACGATGGTCTCCGGAGATATTTTGGGCGCACGAATCACTTACAATGGAACATCCAGGAGGCTGGATGTTACGCTGAAAGATCCTCAGGTTCCAAACGAGTCGATAACTTTGAATCTTACTGATATTCCCATTGATTTGAAGGAAATTCTTCCGCCGAGAGTGATCGTTGGCTTCTCTGCATCAACAGGACAGTGGATCCCAATTCAAGCAATCAGAAGTTGGAATTTCACTTCGAGTTTGGATCTGATTGTTGAAACTGGAAACGGTGGGGGGAAATCCAATTGGTGGATTGTGGGGCTGGTTATTGGACTGGTGGGTTTGGTATCTCTGTCTGGTTTGTTATTTGGAATCTGGTGGAGGAGAAATAGGAGGAAACTGAAAGAAAGAGAAGAAGGAGATGATGATGATTTTGAAGATGATGAAGAAATTGGCATGGTGAACACTGTTGATGAAGACATAAAAGGAACTGGGCCAAAGAGATTTGCTTATAAGGAACTGTTTAAAGCAACCAACAACTTTTGTGAAGAGGGGAAGCTTGGACAAGGAGGTTTTGGTGGTGTTTACAAAGGATTTGTGGCAGAACTAAACATGGAAATTGCAGCAAAGAAGATATCAAGCAATTCCAGACAGGGCAAAAAGGAGTACATCTCTGAGGTGAACATCATAAGCCGTTTACGACACCGGAACCTGGTTCAACTCGTCGGATACAGCCACGAGCGTGGCAATTTCCTACTCGTTTACGAGTACATGCCGAACGGGAGCTTGGACTTCCATTTGTTCGGGAAAAAACCGCGCATCCCCTGGCCTATAAGATTCAAAATAGCCCATGGCATAGCCTCTGCCTTGCTCTACCTCCATGAGGAGTGGGAGCAATGTGTTGTCCACAGAGACATCAAGTCAAGCAACATAATGTTGGACTCAAACTTCAACGCGAAGGTCGGCGACTTCGGTCTAGCCAGGCTTGTCGACCATGGCCTCCGCTCGCCAACGACAGTCGTGGCAGGCACCATGGGCTACCTAGCTCCAGAGTCCCTTCTTACCAGCAAGGCGAGCAAGGAATCAGACGTGTTCAGTTTCGGGGTCGTGGCGTTGGAGATAGCCTGTGGGAGAAAGGCAGTGGAGCACCATGAAGAAGAAGCAAAGATCAGTTTGGTGAGTTGGGTTTGGGGGCTGTATGGACAAGGCAGGATCATAGAAGGAGCTGATAAGGCATTGAATGGAGAGTTCAGCCAAGAAGAGATGGTGTGTTTGATGACTGTGGGGCTTTGGTGTGCGCACCCAGATCATAACCTGAGGGCTTCCATAAGGCAAGCAATTCAGGTTCTGAACTTTGAAGCCCCTTTGCCCAATCTCCCAACTTACATGCCTGTGCCTATGTTCTATGCTCCCTCAGTTGCCAATCAAAACCCTTTTTCTTATACTTACTCAACAACCAACACAAACAGCCAATTATCTCAGCAATCTGATACTTCTCAGCCTGTTTCCTCCAAGTCATCCTTGTAAATTCTTCATTCTTTTCGATGGGTTCGGGGTAAATTCCCCGTCGCTCTCTTTAGTTTGTCTTAGATTAAAAAATTTATACGAAGATTTAGGCTCGAGAGCTTTTCTTTTGAACTTTTAGAGTTGAAAATGTGTGCAAGTAAAAAGTTAGGAGGTAAAATTTGGCCGCTCTTACAATTATTTTTCTGTTTGTATCGGTCTTGATTGTAAAACATTTGATGTATGAAAGTCTTGGATACTAGAATCGCAAAAAAAATAATTACAAATGTCAAAATATAGAATTACACGACGACCTGACTCAACAATATTTAGAAAGGTGAAAACCACGATGACTAACCTTGATCTAGTGTAACAATTACTTTGTCACATAATAATTGTTTTAATGTTAGCATTTTGAATATGTAATTACTGAACATAAATCTATTAGACACATATTGAAGATCAAAGTATAAAAATCATATAAACACAGTGGTAAAAATTCAAATACAAAACTTATAATTTAACCTAAAATTCATATAAAAAATATAAGCAATTAGTTAAAAAAGTTCTACAAATGTATCTATAAAATGTGCATTAAAAAAAATATTTATAAAAGGATACTTTTCCGGACAAAAGCTCAATCCAACTTGTTGATCTAAATTATGATCCATGATACTAACTATGGAAGGTGGATAATATTTCTGTTTTTTTTTTTTCATTTTCAATAAAGAAAAATGAATGGCATGACCAACATTCAAGTATGATAAAACAATATTTTTGTATTTATGTTTTATAACAAATGATAAAACAATATTTTTGTATTTATGTTTTATAACAAATAGGAAATGACAATAGAATGAAGAAACTTATTTGAGTTGTTTTCAAAATTTCTATATAATTTTAAGAATGTTCCACAAGAAGAAGAAACAAAAAACATAGTTAACTGCAAAATGTTTAGATTTCTAAATTGGAAACTGGACCCGTTTGATAACCATTTGGTTTTTGGTTTTTGGTTTTTAGCTTTTAAAAAATAGGATTGTTTGATAACCAAAAATAGGATTGTTTGATAACCATTTTGAAATTATATGTAAATTTTAAAATATATATATATATATATATATAGTTTTCAAAAACAGGTTTTTGTTTTTCAAAATCTCATTTTTTCTCCTACTACTCAATTTTTTTTCTCATATTTATCTCTAAAAAAAATTATTTTTCACTCTAAAATTTTTTTATTTCTAAATTTCTCTCTACAAACTTTATTTTTATCCCTCTAAAATTTTCATATTTTGAATATTTATTGTTATTTGACTCTCTCCAAATTTTCGTGTATTTTTGTTTTTTTTTCTAACATACATTTCTCTCCCCAAAAATTTAATATTTTTTTTCTAACTTTCTTCTCTCTAAAATTTCATATTTTATAACTTTTATTTTTCTTCATAATCTATTTTTTCCTCTAAAAATTATATTTTATTTTCTCGTTCAATTTTCTTTCACGGTAACTTTTATTTATCTATGTATTTATTTATTTTCTATAAAAATTATATTTTGAATCTTGTTTTTATCTCTAAATTTTTTTCCACAGTAAATTTTCTCTTTCTTTATAATTTATTTTTTCGTTAACATATATTTTCCTATCAACTTTATTTTTTTCTCCAAAATTTTTCTGTTTCTGTCTTTAACTTTTCTTTAACTATTTTTTTAAATATTTTTGTTTATCTCTCTAAAATTTATCTTAGACAAAAATTTCTGTAGGATCGGGTCCCAAAAATAGAAAATGCATGTCCCGACCCTCTCCCCGTCCCCGATTCCATTTTTTAAATTATTAATATATATTTATTACACTTTTTGAATTCTAAAAATAATTAAAAACAATTGTAAAACCGATAATTTTTCTCAAGAACATCTCTCGGACCCAAGAACGAGGTGGAGACGGAGACTAAGAATTTTCACGAGCCCGAGAATGAGGGAGAGCATCCTCACTCGCACTCACAACATTGTTGACTCTACTCTACATAAAATTTTCTTTCCCTAATAGTATTTTCAATTTTCTAACTTTTTAAAAACAAAAAACGAAAAATGGTTACTAAACATGTTTTGGTTTTTGTTTTTTAAAAACATAAAACAAAAATGATTATCAAACATATATGGTTTTTGTTTTTATTTTTTAAAAACAGAAAATCAAAAACCAAAAACCAAAAACCAAAAACAAAAAACAAGAAAAATCAAAAACAAAAAGCTAAAATGATTATCAAATGGATCCTAAATAATGTGATTTGGTCAATTAAAATAATATTTAAGAACTATTTTGTTAATACAATATATAGGAGTGAATATTCGAAAGGAAACCGGTGCCTTAATAAGTTTTTGGCATATTTAAGACAACCTAGATTAGACCGAGCCTAGACCTAAAACCAAAAAGAGGAGACTAACCCGTACAATCCAAGCGATAAGGACTAGTATTGTTTACTTGAATGCTGAGTCATGTCCTCATAAGAACTCATCAAATCAAACTATATTCGTAAAGATTATGCAAAAATTGATACGGAATTTCATAATCAATTTTCTTCTTTAATCCGCGCCGGAGAAAAATGTTGCAGTTTTCGATTTGCCGAGGTAGAGTTCTGTGATTAGGAAGAAATTTGTTTTCTGATTTTCGAATTTGTTTGTGGAATTTGCTTCTTGATTATGTCCATGATCACGATCCTGTTGCAGTGAGGAAATTCACTGTTCTGCGGCCTCAGATCTTTGCTTTTGGAAATCCTCGTTTCTCCACCTCCGCTGAACCGTCTTCTAAGTGTAATCCTCCGGTAAGGCTGCGTTTGTTTCCTTCGGAGACATCGGTTCTTTTGATTACATATAGGTGATCTCTTGAGCTTGTGTTTGGTTTCTGAGAAAATGTCAGGTCAGAATGTGGAATGTCCGAGCTATGCTTTGCTTTATACTGTCACCGACTTTGCTTCCTTATTGCGTTTGTAATGATTTGATGGATACACTGGTCTCTACTCCTTTAATTTCTGATATGGAGATGGAATAGTTTAGCAATTATACTGCAGGTTAAAAGAAAAGGGAAGATTACCTGTAGGTTTTTTAGCTCAATTCATTACCTAAGGACTATGCTTAATGCCCGGAAGTATTATTACGTTTGACATTCTTGCAGGAGGCTCGTATATACTTTATTTATGGTATCTTTTTTTATTTATAGTTGTTTAGGTGTCCATTGATAGAATTCTGCATTAAATCCATTTTGCCTACTTAGAGCTGCTCTGGGTTATGGCATTTTTTTAATAACATTCATCTCTCTCGTATATTTTATTCCTCATTTGAATTCTTCTATTTTTTCCTTTTTGTTTTGTACCAGAGAGTTCCAAATCTTATAGGAGGGAATTTTGTTGATTCTCAATCCTCAGCATTCATAGATGTCATAAATCCAGTGAGTTACCAGCTCATTTACATGTTCTATTTTGTATTTCAGATTTGAGAATGATAAGTTACTTTTAGATATAGGTAAGAAGAATGTCCTTTTGTTTATAGGCAACACAAGAAGTTGTTTCTCAAGTTCCATTGACTACAAATGAAGAATTTAAAGCTGCAGTGTCTGCAGCAAAGCAGGCATTTCCTGCATGGCGGAATACTCCAGTTACAACTCGTCAACGAGTTATGTTGAAGCTTCAAGAACTTATTAGGCGAGATATTGTAAGTTTGTTGGTATCTTTGTTTTTCTAAGGAATATTCTAAATTGACTTTAAAAAAATGAAATATATATTTCTCTTCATTTCAGGACAAACTTGCTCTAAATATTACTTCAGAACAAGGAAAAACATTAAAGGATGCTCATGGAGATGTATTCCGTGGGCTAGGTTATAATCCTTCAGTTCCTTCTCTCTCCCTGTCTATGCTTGTGATCACTAGATGAGAGGAGAATTCATTTTTTATTATAAGACGTGAGCTGAATGTTTAATAGAAGATTGAAATGGCTTCCTCTTGTAGAGGTTGTGGAACATGCATGTGGAATGGCATCTCTGCAAATGGGGGAGTATGTCTCTAATGTGTCTCATGGAATTGATACCTACAGCATCAGAGAGCCTCTTGGAGTTTGTGCTGGGATTTGTCCATTCAATTTTCCAGCCATGATCCCCCTATGGGTTAGCCTATTATTATTCACTGACATTTCAATGCTTATAATTTCGGCAGAAAAGAATTAGTTTGATTTCTCAAAGGTTTGGGCATGCCAATTATATACTTCATTCGTGATGTGACAAACTTGGTAATTTGAAAAATTATTTTCCCACAAAATTATTTTCGAACAATTTTCCAGCCTTACCGTTGTTATCACTGCAATAAACTTTACTTTTATTTATAATGATAGACTGACGCTCACAATATTTGTACTATGGGATAATCCTCTGCAGATGTTCCCAGTTGCTGTTACATGTGGGAATACTTTTGTTTTGAAGCCTTCAGAAAAAGATCCAGGTGATCTTTGTTTTTGAATTATTCCCAAATGTAATAATACGAACTGTTTTTTTTTTAATAATTATTTTTTATTTTTATTATATATATATATATATATATAATAATATATATGATTATGTATTATTTGTTTTAAATAATACTGGATTGCTTGGGGTTGACCTATTGAGGATCTCTTTGGGGTTTTATGTTTGGCTCGGTGACAACCTTTATATGGGTTTTTTTTTGTTTTACTTCAATTCAAACTAAATCAAACAGAAGTGTTTCATTTTGCCAAAAAAGAAAAATAAATCTTTATTAGTTTCGAAGCAAAATGCATTTTCATCCGTAAAGTCCTTGACTTGATGCTTAAGTGCTTGTATAGAATCTAGATGTTGGTGTTTAACAGAAGACAATTTATTAATAAGAGGAAGTTACAAGTTAGAAGTTAGATGTGGATGAAAGCATACGCCACTGCTAGTTTTACAGTTATCAGTTTGACCCAATGACTGAATAGCTGCCTTGGGCTGAAAATATTTCTTTTGCAAGTTCATTGAATTATATCATGGTGGAGGTTATCTCCATTTCAACGATTTTGAAATACTTCTTTTTTTTTTTCTTTTGACAAAACGATTTTGCCATTCTCGAAAAGCTGTGAATTATTCCTTTCGTTTCAGTGATCTATAAACTTGTTCTCTTTCAGGGGCTTCTATAATTCTTGCAGAGTTAGCAATGGAAGCTGGATTGCCTAATGGTGTCCTAAATGTGGTTCATGGTACTAATGTGAGTTCCTTATCTATCTTATTTTTGAATTCTTGGGGTGGCAAGAACAATATTAACCCTCTTTGATTGGTCTATCTAATCGTGTATCATAGATGTGCACTCAAGGACTAATTTTGATCTATATAATGCTGTTAATTTTATTATTATTATTTTTTCACATAATATTAAAATCCTAAAGTTTTTGCAAGCTTGCAACGATATGATTAGATGCTGGAACCCTACCTGATAGATTCAACTGCTATCTTAAATGTGTTGGTTGTCACTTGATTTGATTCCACTATCAACAAAATGGTATTTTGATTTGTACGATCTTTCTGCAGGATGTCGTCAATGCTATTTGTGATGATGAAGATATTAAGGCAATATCATTTGTCGGTTCAAACATTGTAAGTTATCTTTAACGGAGATCAATTTTACTTTATGGAATTGGATATCCTTTTTTTTTTTTTTCTTTAATAGGAAACAGAACTTTTCATTAAGACAAATGAGGAGTGAGGACAGTAGTGGGATACATTCTGTACTCATTTCCACAAGTGTTTTTTTATATTCTTTTTTGGCATGGGATTTCCCCTTATCTTTTGCAATTTTCATTCATTAGCAAAAAATCCGTTCCTTATACAAAATTACTGCATTCAGTTTTATCTATCAAGGTAATACTAAATATATTGACTGGATTTTAATTTGACATGCTTTTATTTATTTGAAAGGCGGGCATGCATATATATTCAAGGGGATCAGCTAAAGGAAAACGTGTTCAGGTAAGTAAACCAAGGCACAAAATTAGGGTACTCTTAGAAATATGTGCTTGTTTTATTGAAACTCTGCTAATGATCTGAGTGACTGTTTGTGGTTGTTTCAGTCTAATATGGGGGCAAAAAATCATGCGATTGTCTTGCCCGATGCAAGCATAGATGCTACTTTGAATGCTTTGGTTGCTGCTGGATTTGGTGCTGCTGGACAAAGGTGCATGGCACTCAGTACAGTTGTCTTCGTTGGAGACTCCAAGTTGTGGTATTATTCCCATTCTTGTCTTTTTCTAAATATTTTAGTAATACATCACCTCTATTTGTATCGATATTGCCTTAATTCTTGTGGGTTAGGTTGATTACTTTTTCACTGGGAATATTACTATTTTGAATTCATATAATGCAGTTTGACAGCTTAGACTCTCATTGGGTTAGGAAAAATCTGAGGCATTTAAAATAATTTATCTTCTAAAGCCTGCAATATAGAGGTTTTCTGGGAAACTTATATTAGTATTCTCTTTTCCATATTATTGATCCAAATAACTGGAGAAAGTAATCTTTAATTATGAGATTCAACAGGTTGGGATCATCAAATTTATGTTGTGTGGAATCTCTACAAATGTTAATCTATTCATTTGGATAAAGTACAATCTTCTAGAATTTTAAGCGCATACACTTTCTCAAGTATAATTCTTTGTACTTCTTTTAGTTAACAGACACCATGATAATTATGTATATACTATTTTTTTGAACTTTGGTATATTTTCAGAATTTGAATTCTTTAAATTGCAGCCATAATATTTTGTATGTCACGAAACAAATATAACCTTTTTCCAGGGAGGATAAACTTGTAGAACGTGCTAAAACTCTCAAGGTAAATTCTGGAATGGAACCTGATGCAGATCTTGGTCCAGTAATTAGCAAGCAGGTATTTATCATTCTTTTTTCTACAATTTGAAGTTGAAAAATGTTTTTTTTTCTCCTTACGCCGAAAATAATTCCTTGTTTCACAGGCAAAGGAGAGGATTCACAGATTAGTTCAATCTGGCATTGATAGTGGAGCCAGGCTACTGCTAGATGGGAGAAATATAGTGGTATCTTGTTACTTTTCATGTTCGACTACCACCTTTCTTGCTTCCAGTAGTTGAGATCTAGCTTACATGGTGTGCATAGTTTATCTATGCACCATATTGCATCATGGAGAATGACTTTCCCTTCGATTGGCATCATATGCTAACTTCTTGAGGAGTGATTGATTTTTGCTGTAATAAAAAATTTAGTCAAGTCAATGAAGAGATTTTGTAGGCAGAGATGTTAGTTCAAAAATTAAAGATTGAAAAAGGCGAAAAGACTTTTTTTATCATTGATAAAGATAAGCAAAGGAAACAACCAATAATTTTGGTAAAATTGTCTTTTCAATTATTTTTCTCTACACATACTTATATTTTACAACCTTTCTCTGCATACACATTATCTTTTATAACTTAACAGATAAATCTTCAAAAAAGTACAATTTCTCTCATGGTTTTCTCTCTATAAGCTTTTTCTTATACATATTTTATCGTACAATATTATAAAATTGTGTGTTTATAAGGAAACATAGTGAAACAAAGAATATTCTCAGGAATAATATGTCTAGGCAGATAACAGTTGAAAGAACAAGAATTGGACAAGTATGTAAATGAACGTTCCCTAAGCATTTTGTTTTTTGTATATGAAACAATTCAGATTGCTGAAGGAGAAGAAATATTAGTTTTGTCTACAGATTATCTGAGAGTTCTAGTCCCCAAATGATTCCAAAGTCTTGCTATATCTGACTCCAAGTTATATCATTATCTGCATCTACATTGATAACTATTCATGGATGTAATTTAGGTTCCCGGATACGAGCAGGGCAATTTTATTGGCCCTACTATATTATCAGATGTGACAGCTGCCATGGAATGCTATAAGGTTTTTTTCCCCTCATTATGAGTGAAATTGATTTAATCCTGAAAGTCGGACTAAACTTGGGAAATTTCTATCTTGCTCCTTCCAGGAAGAAATATTTGGCCCAGTTCTGCTTTGCATGCAGGTATGCTTGTCACACCTTGATCTTTCTGATTCTCCTATCTGTTAATAAAAGATATTGTTATAATTTATTTTTTCATGTTCCATCAGGCCGAAAGTTTAGAGGAGGCCATTAACATTGTTAACGGAAATAGGTATTCAGATTGTTTGTTGTTCCCTTTATTCTCATATAGTAACCACGCCTTTTTCCATTGTTTTACAATCTGGGAAAAATTACATCCTTGCACAGGTATGGCAATGGAGCTTCCATATTCACCACATCCGGCATAGCGGCAAGGAAGTTTCAGACGGAGATTGAGGCTGGACAGGTAAATATCAATATCCTCCAAACGTAATAACTTAAAATCCTTGTTGACTCTTGAAGCTAACTTTTGGGTGGGCGAGCATCTCTAAAATTAATTGATGGGGTATGGGATGTACCAATGAACATAACATCACCCAGTTATCCAAAAGAAATGTTAAAAAGAAAACTTCCTTTTAAGGTTGGATTTACATTTTTCTTGTCTTTCTGAAAAATAAAAAAGAATTATACGTACGGATGTTTGCATGTAAAGTATATAATCTGAAAAACTTCCATTTTAAGGAATAGAAGTTATAGTGTTTGCAAGTTCATCTCTACTTTATATAAATGGTGTCTCAAATTGAATTAGGTTGGGATCAACGTTCCGATTCCAGTTCCGTTGCCCTTCTTCTCATTCACCGGCTCCAAGGCATCTTTTGCTGGGGATCTCAATTTTTATGGTAAGCTTTTGGTTTAAACTTATTCCAGTTCCTGAACTTTTACCTTTATTATCTTCTAGTCCTTTTATGTTATGAAATATTTGATTTTGGTTCTCCGTGAACTTTCTTAGATAACCATTTTGATTCTTTGTGAAAATTTTAAATGGTATTTAACAAATCTTAAAGTTATCATACTCAATAGTCAATACTAAAGTCGATTCGTATGACTTATATACAAGTCCTCATAGGACTAAAATATGTTTTGGTTCAAAATTTAGAGATCAAAATAGAGTATTTAAAAGTACCCAACAGACGGATGTAAATCTAAAACTTCATCTGTGTGTTAGACCTCCAATTAGAAAGGTTTATGTAAGGAAGGGCAAAACGGGAATTATGGAGGGCAGTCATGTTTCTATTTTACTGTTTTATTTGGTTTCTTTGTGTTGGGGGAAGTTACAACTTCCTTAGGTAGTTTTATGGTTGTTGTTGATGTTTCTCTATCCTGTTGCTTTTGATACACACTGGATTACCTCGACTGGTGTGTTTCTTAAAGAAGTGTGGGGAGTTAGATGTCCTTCTCGAATAGGTCATCGTTTAGTTGATGATTTACGTGTTGTTAAAGTGGTTCTTGATAGGGAATACTATTGATTTTCTCCAAAACATCAAAATTAGTACCGGAAATTTGGTTGTTGGAATTAAGAGATTGTGGTGTGGAAACAGGCAAGGCTGGAGTTAACTTCTTCACTCAAATCAAAACAGTGACACAACAATGGAAAGACTCAGCTGGGGGAAATACAGTTAACCTTGCAATGCCAACCTCTATGAAGTCATAGGTTTCCTTTCATTTTGTTGTAATTACTTTTTATAAACCTTATGCAGCTCTTCTCAGTGCATATAATAAATAAATACTCTTCTTTCCCACCTTTTTTTATTTTTTTGTGTTGTCTTTTCTCTTATTTCTGTTCCCTTTCTGCTTCATTTGGGTGGTTATCAAACTTCAAGAGGGTGGGACAAGTACCAAGGAAATTCTTTTTTTTTTTTCGTCCATAAGGTTAGGTTTGAACCTAGTTTCTATTTGGTCACCGTGTTTAAAAAACAATCACTTTTGGTTCTTAAGATTTAAATTGAGTTTCTATTTGATCATAAGTTTCAAAAATGACATATTTGGTCTTAGAAGTTTGAATTTAGTTTTTAATTGGTCCTAATGTTTGAGCTTCGTTTCTAATTGATCCCTAAGGTTTGAGTTCGATATTTAATTGGTCATTGAGTTGAGTAGACCATTAGTTGAGTTAACGGAATGATGATGTCACAATTAACATATGTTGACTAGATGTTACTTGGGCAAAAGAGAATGAAGAATCTCGTTAGGTTAACTGGTCAACTTAACTCAAGGATCAATTAGAAACCAAATCAAACTTCAGTGGTCAATTAAAAACTAAATTTAAACTTCATAGACTAAGCATATCACAACAACTAAATTTAAATCTCATTGATAAAAAATGATGATTTTTTAAACTCGGGACCAAATAGAAATTAAGTCTAAACATCAAGGACTAAAATTATTTTACCATTCTTTTTTTTTAAGTAGAGATTCAAATCAAAAACCTTTTGTTTGAGTGTTCTTAAACTTGCTGTTTTAATAAGTCTAAATTTATACCAATTAGAGTATAGTTTAGTAGGTTAAGGCATATATATCAAACTATAAGGTTGAAGGTTCGAATCCCTAAATTTATTAAATTTAGAATTGGAAGACATGATTTTGCACATAACTTAGACGCTAATGATAAACTGTTGTTTGATTATCAATTCTATTACATGTTTTCTATTTTGTGTTTGAAAAACGTTTTTTAAATTGTAGGTAAATTTCAAAAAAATAAAAATATATAGTTTTTAAAATAGATGTCTGTTTTTCAAAATCTTTTTTTTTTAATTTCTCTTTTAACTATATTTCTTTCTAACTTCTCTCTAACTTTTTCTCTAAACAAATATCTTCCCTCATCTAAACTTTTTATTTTCCTACTTCTACACATTTTTCTTTTATCTCTTAACGTATCTTTAACTTCTAAAAAAATCAGAAAATATAAAACAATTATCAAATATGTATGGTTTTTGTTTTTTAAAAATAACAACGAAGAACAAAACGATCCGCATAAATTTTTAAATGACAGGGAAACAATCTCAAACTTAAATATATTTTTTTAAATTGCCGAAGTATATATAAAACTTTCATAATATATATATATATATATATATATATATATATATATATATATAATCTTTTTATATTTTTTTAAGCTAATAAATAATAGAAGGTTTAAATCTTATTTTAGTTTTTAATTCTTATCAACAAAGACCTTCTTCTACATCCTTAAAAGGTTGAATTCATGGCAATCATTACTAGTTTCTCTTATGACTTCTAGGCTCTAGGTATTAATTGCATAAGTTCACTAATACGAAGCACGGTCCATCAAAATTGGCATAAATCAGGTGTTACTGAAAGAACATGGTAAGTCTATCTTTCTTCGTATCGAAACGATATAGGCACACATATATATGTGTGTAGGAAGCCTAAAAGTGATTTATTTTTAGTTTTGGAAACTTTCAAAAAAATTTGATTCTTAAACCTCCATAGTCTATTTTAGGCTTCTAAATTCTCAAAAAATAACTATTTTGGTATTTGTTATATTATTTTGTCGCTTAAAATTTGCTTTTTTGATACTCACTTTCGACCTATGTCGTTTGAATATATGTCCAACGTTAACATGTTAATACACTCATGAAGACGCATTATTAATTTGTTAAAGCCAAACTAAAACTAATGATCAAAATGGTTACTTTAATTCAAGGTTTAAAATAGATATTTCAAAGGTTTTAAAGAGCAAAATTGAACCAACTTAAAAATTCAAGGACTAAAATAGACATTATGAGATTCTAAAGATTAAAATGAAATATCTTGAAAGTTTAGAGATAAAAATAGATTTAAATCATAATAGATCATAATAGAAAATACTAACATATAGGAAAAATTGTGAAAATCACCTCGAGTTGTTACAATTACACTCTCAAACTTTCAATTTGATCAATCAATTCCTTAAACTTGCGAAATTGTTATAATTAAATCTTAAAATATCGTAAAATGCACAGTCCACTCTCAAGCTATAAGGATTTACATAATCAAACCCAAATTGTTACAATTTTATCTAAAGGTTTTTTAATTCCACAAATTTGAAAACTATAATATTAACAATTAAAAATTTGTAGTGTTTTCCAATCGATGCTGAGCCTAATACATCTGTATTAAGACAAAAAATGAAAAAAATGATGTAAAAAATTTAGGTTTGATTAAGATAATCCTATAATACAAATGTTTGATGCACGTAAAATTATTTTTATAGTTCATGGTTCCTCCAGGATTATCGATCAAATTGAAATTTTGAGGGTGTGATTGTAATAATCCCAATAGTTTTGGGTGGTTTTTGCAAGTTTCCCATCTATATAATTTAAATATATTTTACGTACTAATTGTTTTAATTACTTTTTACTATAAAATTAATTGAAGATTATAGAAGTGATTTTAAGTTTTAAACATCCTTTTAAAAGTATAAAGTAGTCCTTCCTAAGTAAAATAGAACAAGCGTGATAGTTTGGAAATTAGGTTTAAAAGCAAATTTGTGTTTATTTTATATCTTCCTTTGTGTAATAAAAGCTACTTCCGCAATTAATAATTATCTTAAAATGGACCATATGGATTCGACCTATAATTTTTTTTTCAACCTTGAAGCCTTAAATGCATATTTATAGGTCAATCCGAGGATAGTTCAATAGATAAAAGCATATATTACCATCTCAAAGGTCGATGATCTAATCTCCTGTAATTGTCGAACGAAAAAATAAAATCAAGTTTTATGTACAGTTTTAACTTATAATTATAAAGAAAAACTAACTTGAGCATATAAGTGCATAACTTGGTAGCTAGACATTTCTACCTCCCGTAAAAGATCATAGGTTCGAATCTCCACTTCATATTAGTCGTATTTCCTTGTAATCATTTATTAATTTTACTCAAGGTAAGATGCTCAATCGACCAGAGACATTAGTAACCTCTTCGAGCTGTAAATTCAAATTATCACCATTTGTTTTAACTCTAGAAAATAGTATTCAAAACAATTGTGTAGAACTTAATTACCTATACTTTTTCTTTTATGGGGAGGAGAACCAAATAGGAACTCACAACCTTTTTATCGAGAAWATAAACCTTAACTAATGTTAGTTCTTACGTTGACACCTATTATCTTTTTTTAGTTTTGGGATTTAAAATCATGCTTTTACTAACAAGTTTATAGTCTACTTAAAAAATATTAACCATAAAAATATATTAAAATTTAAATATTTTTTTAGTTTTAAATTTGTGCTAATTTCAAATGTTAATTAAAAAGTAAAAAGTTAACCAAATAATAAATCATCTTAATTTTTACAAAATAGAGTCCTTTATAATATAGCGCGCATTAGGTATCTTCTAAATCTATAATTGTGCCTTTTTTAATATTATCTTGATCCATAAATTGATAAATTGACAAGTATATATGACGCGTGTAGAGGTAAAGAATGACAAAATTCAAAGGGTAGGACTAATAGATTTCATTCATTATAAAAATAATTAATGAAAAAGTATGAATGTTCAATAAAAAAGTTGCAAAATGATTGTCAAATAACTCTGTAATCACGCGATCAGACGTCAAAATAACAGTAAAATCACGATGAAATTAACAATTTTATATGATATTTTTGTCTAGACCCATGTGACTATATAAACTAATATATAGCTTTCCTTTTGACAATATATTTTATCTCAAATGTATGATTTGGGTCTAAAATATTATTTTTTTAAAGAAATATTTGGTAAAATATTCATATTTAAAACATATCAAAATCATTTATAATGTCCCTCTAATCTATTTATTAAAATAATAAAAGAATGTGACAAGAATCCATTGGGATCTTGATGTGGGCCTACTAGTAATAATTATGTATACAACAAAATCTTACAATATGTCATTACATGCATGGTTAAAACCTTGGCTAAAATAATAATTGTTTTGAGATGGAAGCAACTAAGAGAAATTATAACACATGATACATTTGAATATTATAATTATAAAATATTAAAGGTTAAAACAAAAGGTTTGGTTCATAAAATTTTCTAATTTAGTCCCTAAAAGTTAAAAAGGTTATATTTGAGTCCCAAGAGTTTTAATAAATTTCAATTAAGTCTTTAACTAAAGAAAAATCATTGTATAATTATTAATTTATAACATGGAGATCTCTCGCTTAGAAGTAAGAGAAAGATTAAGGTTTTTTTTAGTATAACAAATGTAGAGGCGTACGTGTAGGGATTTAAACTCAATTTAAAAAAAAAGAATTATATGTACGTCTTTGCTGTCGAACTATGTTCGGGTTGACGACTAAGATTTAAAGAATGTTGAGTAGAGCAGATTTATGTCCTATACTTAAGGGTATGCACACTGTCCCAATACCCGTACATACGTAAAGGAAAGATATTCTTTGAGACTCCAAACCATCACAGCTATCCGTGGGGACGATGGATTTTTATTATTAGCAAAATATCTCAACTAAACTATAATCAACCACCATGGACGATAATAATAATAAAGAAGTTAAAATATGAGATCTAAAAACTTGTAATTTATCTAAAAAAGTCAAACCACATATATATATATATATTTTTATCATTAATTATTGCTTCATTATTTTCCATGTGTTAAAAAAAATATAATAAAAAAAATATCAAATAAAGGTCAAATGCACATCAGACCAACCTCCAGTATATCTGGCCCCCCAAAAAAGGGCAATGGATGAGAAAGGCGAGTAAATAAAGGCCAACTTATATTCAATCATTTTCTATAATTCATT